ACATGGACCCCATTTGAAAACCCATAACACTTGTTTTTTTTTTTTTTTTTTTTTTTGCAGTGTATGGTAAACTCCAACAGGCAATCAATCAATCAATCAATCAATCAATATATATATATATAAACATTTTTAAATCAAGATGCATTTACTTATTAACCTAATTTATTTAGTCTTGTTTTATGAAAAATTATCCAAATTAACTTTATGCTTAAAACAAGTACAAATATCTGCCAATGGGGTCAAAAATAATAATCTTGTTTCCCTTTGAATTTGCATTATTTTTCTGACCCAACTGGCAGATATTTGTTCTTGTTTTAAGCAAAAACGCACTTAATTTTGATAGATTTTTCAGTCATGTTGTATCTCCAGTAAATGTATCTTGATTTATGAGTGTTTTAATATTTGAACTGGAAATCAAGACAAAAATACTACGGAAGAAAACCATTTTTTTGCAACATGTGGCAACATCTGTATTTGTACTAGTTTTCAGTTTGATTAGTTGCTGCAGAATCAGCAGATGTGATCCTGAAGCGTGTGAGATCACAGATGAGTTTACTGAGAAGCACAGAATCCGTGGAGAGCGTCTCAGAGCGTCCCTGCTCTCCCTCGGGTCCTGTAGCTGACACAATAGCCACACAGAGTTAATGAGGGAAAGGTGAAGTTACCTGTAAAATACGGTCTCCTTCTCGGATTCGACCGTCTCGCGCAGCGATGCTGTTCAGCTCGATCTGAGAATCAAAGCAGCAGGTTTCAGATTTGAAATGAATGATGCCATTTAGAATTATGGACTCAGGATCTGATTGGCTGAGGCTTCAAGACTCCAGCCAATCCCGTGCTCCTCTGTGATCAGAACGCATTAGGGCCCGCCCACTTCTTCCTATTCGTTTTTCTCATAAAGACTTTAAAAAGTCTTCGTTTGAGCCGTGAACCAAAGCAAGCAGCTACGAGGAGAATCACAACATCACAAACTTTCATTTGAAGCAGAAAAATATTTGAAAATCAGACAAAGATGCAAGACTTTAGTGTGGAAAGAACTACAATCCCATGATGCACTGCGAATATCACTGAAGTAAGAACAATGGAGAAATGATTAACTGTTGATTTAAAGATGTGGATTTTATACATAGAAACAATATATTTTGTTTATTGCAAAATACGCATATAAATATTTTAGATATATACAATATATAGCCTATATAATTCAGAAAACATGTCTTGTTTTCTGCAAAACTAAATTATATATAAATTCAATATATAAATTATTTTATAGTGAGTATTAGTTTTTTATTAATATTCTTTTCATTTGAATTTTAGATAAAGTTTTAGTAATTTTATGTTTTTGTCATTTTTATTTTATTTAATTTTTTTCAAATATGTCTATATAGTTTTCATTCATTTTTAGTTATTTTGGTACATCGAGTACTACATTTACAAACTAAATAAACATGAGATTTACTTCCTTCGCAACTAGCTGAAAATAACATGTTTTTAATATTTTATTTCAGTAAATGCATCTTGTTTTAAACATTTTTAGATATTTCTACAAGAAAAAAAGTCAAGCATACAGAGGAAGGAACTCATGTTTTAGCATTACGTCATTCGCAGTCTCTGATTGGTGGAATTATTTCACAGAATCATGGGTAATGTAGTTTTTCGCTAGGAATTCTTTAGAAACAACTGATGGCTTTAATGGACGCTTCGATTAACAACCTCTAGGTCTTCTTTAAAGACTCCTATGGAGAAAATAAATGTGATTTTTACTCCCAGAACCGACTGCTGTGCTTTATGGAGACGCATCCTTTAACAGCCAATCAGTGACTGTCTGATCCGTCCAATCAGAGCTGAGCTTATCTGTCTTCATCAGATCGAGACGAGCTAGCCGTGATCAGACTCTAGTGAGAGACACAGACTGAGTGAACATCTGAGTGATGAATGAAGAGTGTTTCATCTTTCTCTCTCTGTCTGGTGTAACGGGCCGTTCATCACGCCAGCGCTGTAATATCCCTGATAGCACGCTCTCTGCTCTTCAATTTTATGGAGTGGAGATTTTAATAAGCCTGTAAGCGCTGACGGATCTGTATTCACTCGTGCCGCAGAGACCCGATGAATCTGAGACGACTTCTAATGAAGCCCAGAGCACACAAACACTCACTCAAACACCAGATATTACTGTATATCTGTCTAATATGCTGCTCAACAAACATTTCTGATTATTATCAGTCGTGCTGCACAATATTTCTGTGGAAACCGTGATGCATTACATTTTTCAGGATTCACAGATGAACAGAAAAGTTCAGAAGAACAGCATTTGTTTGAAATAGAAATCTTTTGGACCATTATAAATTTATTTACTGTCACTTTTGAACAATTTAAAGCATCCTTGATCAATAAAAGCATTTTTTTAATGGTAGTGTATCACAGTTTCCACAAAAATATTGTTTTCAGCGTTGATAATAATCAGAAATGTTTCTCGAGCAGCAAATCAGCATATTAGAATGATTTCTGAAGATCATGTGATGCTGAAAATACAGCTTTGATCACAGAAATAAATTACAGTTTAACAGATATTCACACAGAAAACAGCTGTTTTGGATTGTAATAATTTTTCACTATTTTTACTATGTTTTTTTAATCAAATAAATGCAGCCTTGGTGAGCAGATGAGCAGACGTCTTTCAAAAACATTAGAAAATCTTGGTTGTGCAGATGTATATAGACCGGGGCTAGTTGTCACACAGTCAATATCCCATCAGATTTAGTTCATTTAGATTTTTCACGAAAGCACTGTAACAACATGCCCCGCTGTAGAGCTCAGAGTGTGTTAAATTGTTTGAATGTTTTCAATACCCATATAAATATTCAAACGCTTGATGTTCCTACCGTGAAGACTTCAAAGTTTGTGTCGATCAACAGAAACTGGCTTCAGTATTCACCAGAGTGAAGTGTGACAACTAGCCCCGGTGTCTGCTACACAGTAAATCAATTCAGTATTCAGTATTAAAGACGTTTTAAATGGTTTTATGATCCAATATCAGACTTTATGATTAAAACTTCATCTGAGTGTTATGTTTGAGTGTTTACGTCGCTCTAATAAGCGATCATTTCATCGGGACTAATTATTAACTTCCTATATGGGAGACAAACTAGTGTCTGAGGATTCAGGCGTTGGACAGAAGCGTGCGAGTGATGTTTGTGGCGCACCTCGCTGACGTAGATGTCCTCGTCCTCGTCTGTCCTGTAGCACAGCGTGAGCCCCAGCTTCTCCTGACAGCTCAGTCGACGCAGCTCAACCTCCTGCAGAGACAAGAGACCCGATGCATCTCTGTCAGCTGAGGACTCATTCATCACGGATAAACATAGTAAAAATGTTCTTGATATTAACAGATGATGCTAACCCTGGAGCAACATATAAAACTAGCAAATTCTGCTTAAACGCAACATATAATCATGTGTTCACCGTCTGTTTGATTGCATGTAATTTGTAACTAACTGCATGATTTTTACTGTACACTTCTGCCATAGTCACCACTGATAACCTACTCCTAAATGTAATGGTGAAACGCACTATACAAATAAACTTGATTTGAATAGAATTAATGAGTTTTGCATGGATTGTCTTTGGCCTAAAGATGCTTTAATATCATCAATGTTAAAGGTGCATCAGTGAAGACGACTCCACTGAAAAAAAATAGTGCAGTGGATTTATTGTAGGATTTTTTATTTATTATTTTTTTTTATTTATTGATGTAGGACTTACTTTAAACATGTTTTTTTTTTTTTTTGGAGTAGGATTTTTTTATTTTTTTTTATTTTTGGTATAATTTTTTTGATATGAGATTGCTTAATTTAGCAATTTTAAAACAATTTTTAAAAATGTTTTAATGTAATTTTTTTGGTATAAAATTTACTTTAAACACTTATTTTTTGGTGTAGGATTTACTTGAAACATTTTTTTTTACTTTTTTTTTAAATTAATTTATTTGTATTTATTTTTTATCATGTTTTGGTTCAGGATTTACTTTAAAACACTTTTTTTTAATTTTCTGGTATAATTTTAAACAATGAATAGAATTTCACTAAAATTGCTGGTAAATATCACAAAGAATTACAACGAAATAGCAAGTATCACATTAAACTTGAAGTAGAAAGACTGAAATTGTATTTTATGACTATTATAAGCATTTTAAAACACTACAATAAACTTTATTTTATTTACAACAAAGATTTACAAGTTTGTTTTAAAACAAGATTACATGTTTTATATCTTTTAGATAAAAACCTTAATTTTGACAAAAACAAAATTGAGGCCATTTTTATGTTCAAAAATACTTTTTTTTTTTTTTTTGGCTCCTTTTA